TGGGTGTGTCAAGAATGAGTCTAAAAATAAACCATCAATTACAGATTTATGGATAGATCACTTTGACAATTGAAATTCTTTCTCATTTAAAGCAGACCTGTTTTTAGGATTTTAAAGAACTTCCAAATGAAACTAGTCATATTTCATGCTACCGCAACCTCAGCTGTCTTTTTCCAAACTGGACTGCAAAACCCAAATGAATGAGATTAAAACATTTTCCAAGTATTCTTTACTGCGATACAATTTAAGTCACAACATTAACATAGATGTCACAAATTAAAATTCAAGCACAAAATTTAGCTGTGCTTGTGTTCCGTCAAGTTATTTCTTGTTTTGAAACTCTGTCCATTAATATGAGTTTGAGCTTTTTCTGCTTTTCCTCTGAGCCACACCGCTTTGTGTTGGACAGCGACTACAATTGTGCCACTCGAGGTCTCGTACCAGTCAATATGAAGGACTAAACTACAGCTGAAAGCAGACATGAGTTCAATCATTCAATCTGCGGCGCAGAAAAACACACAGTGAGGCTGTTATGTAGCAGCTGTCTGGGAGAACAGGGAGTAGCATCGCTCTTATTGAACACAGAGAACAATAAAATATAACCTGGGGGGCAGATCCCACAGTGCTCCCTCCACACAATCAATACGACTATTTTAAGCCGTTCTGATGCAGCAGGCTGTGTGTGTTTGTGTGTGTCTGGAAGGTGGGGGGTAAATATGCAGGGACACACACAAAGACACACATGTGGTCCCACTTTTGATACTTTATGAAAAAGTAAATTAAGAATCTGCTGGTTCCTATATTTGTTTGCTCGTGTCCATGTAAATGAATGCTCTGTGAACAAATTGAGTGGACTTGATTCTATAAAAGTGACACATTGAAGTCCGCTCTCATACACTCAAAGAAACTTACACAGGTCTCCTACTTAATGATTTGATCTTTTAGCAGTCCCCCATATATGTGTCTGTGTAAGGTAGAATCTTTGAGTAAAATTATTTCATTTAATTTCAAAAAAAGTGAAGTAATTTCTCACTTCCTCAAGGAATATCTGCAGGGAATCCATCCTTATGGGCTTATGATCTTCTCTCCATTTATATTTAAATTTCCACATGATGCATTTCTGTGCAGACCACCAAGATTTGAATAATTATGCTTAAAATGAGGATGTCTTAATAGTTTTCGTAGGTTCAAATGCAACTGCAATATTTAATTCAAATATAAACTATAGCACAGGAAAAGTCAAATCATTCAATTTATTTTGTTCGCTGACATTTTCTTTAGCTCTTTAGAGTCTTTGTAAAGTCTGTATGCGTTGCACGACTTTTGTGATGACTTTGTTTCATGTCAGGCTGCGATTGCATCATGATGAGAATTTTCTGCTAAGCAGTAAATAAAAAAAACAAACACAAAAATATATATATCTAAATATCCACAACTTCCGAAAAACATCCGCTGTAGTTCAACTGAACCATATGTCCAAAAGTACAACAGGACAGAATCTAACCCCGGTGACCCCGCGGGGATCGCAGTGCGCCGTCTTACCTTGGTTGCAGCGGCTGAAACGACTGATCGTAATTCCAAGAAAGAGTGAAACGAAGAATCTGTTTCCAAAAGTCATGTCTGCGGCAGTATTTGCCGGCGGCTTTACTTCTTGTTTGATCAGCGACGAAGCGCTCTGGGTCCGCTCCGGTCCACCGGTTCTGGTCCTTATAATTGATCCCGTGTGGAGCGAGCGGCCGCGCGCTGGAACAAGAGGTGGCTCATCCTTTTCACCTGGCGGCTGCCGCAGCTCCGTCGCTAAATGGACAGCTGTTGGATGGAGTCCCAAAAATACTTGAAGTGAACTCGGACCTTCTGACAGGGCTGAAAACACTTCGCTAATAAAACAAACTTTGCAGATTCTAAACGGACTTCACCCTCCACCTTCTTTGGCGTTTCGAAATGGCCATTAAAGCGCGTAGAGTCGTGACAGGCTGGAGACACCGTGTGTTTGAAGAACGCGGTGCGGACTGCCAGCTCCGGCTGCAGCTCCAGCTCGGTCCGCTGCTGCAGAGAGACGGTGAAAGGTGAACGGAGGAATGATTGGGATGCAGCGGAACAGCAGCAACAGCGGAGGCGATGCTGTGGGACTGCGCGCATCTGTGCAGGATGCTCGGCACTAGAGGGGGTTAGCTGACAAGGCAACGAGATGTGCGTTTGTGTTTGTGTGTGCGCGCGTTCGTCTCATTGGTTCTTAAGCTGAGCTTCCTGAAGACTGGTAAATGTTAAACATGACCCCCCATTTTGATGTAATGTAATAACACATTAAACTGGCCAATGTAAATCTGGTGAAAAGTTCTTGGGATGCACTCTGACATCTGGATCTCTCGCTAAGTTGTCACATGCATTGATTTGCTTTAGCTTATTTTGGACGTTTAGAGCTGGAAAGTGTTTTAAAAAATCACTTTCGCTGCTGGCAACTTTAAAGTTGAAAGACAGAGTTAAAAACATAAATTTGGTTGGTTGTATTTTGTTAATCTTTGTTTTCAGTTTTGGGTTTTATTTTGTTAAATGCTTTATTTTTCTTGTTTTTACTTCAATCTTCATTTAATGATGCCGCCCAACTACCACACCTGTCATGCGTTAATCATTTGCGCCTGCAGAGCTCCAATAGCTTTAGATGTTGCCATCTGTCATGTAACGGGTCTTTCTACCTTTGCAACAACTAAAAAAACGACTTACTTACTCCTCTGCAGAACTGGGTCCCTGTATACACACTGCTGATGCACAGATTTTAATTACATTCAATATTTGAAGATTTACATAATAGTTCCACTCTTTGATTGGACACAGATGTGTCATAGTTTTGGAACACCAGGTGTCCCAGTCAAAACATAAAAAGTATTCATGTAATTTTTAAAAAATTGATTCATTTGTAAAAAAAAAACTGTTGTGCCATATACAGGTTAAGTAAAATAAATGCACATAATGTGGGTTATAAGGTTCAAAACATAAATTAAATATAGTCTGAGCTTATATTTCAGTGGAAGGGAATCACTGACAAATTATATACTTAATGATTAATAGATGAACTTTTTTTTAAATCAAAACATGTTTCAGTTTTTCTCGATCTGATAACATTTCTCTTTTCATGTTAAGATGTTACATCCATTATTTCAAGTGCTCTACTTGTCTTGAGAACTTAAAAGGGAAATGGTCATCAAGTATCCATCTTGATGGAAATGTCAGTTGTTAGTTTCCTGTTTTATAATGTAGGGTTATATATATTTATAACATTAATGATTGCATACTGAACATGTCGGCTGGTCTGCTGTATTTTTTAAAACATACAGCAGAGTTCAAATTTGTGTTTTTTAAGAAACAATGTTCAAAATTCCTAAAAGAAAAAAAAAAGATTTGTTTGCACACATTCTACTGCAGTGGGAACACTGCACATTTTATTACAAATCAAAACATACAGAAAATATATTTTCACTCTGAAGTGAGGAAACAAAATACAAGGTTCTTTAAAAAGTACCATCAGCATTTTTGTCTTCCAAACTCAGTGTATAAACTGAAAAAGACAATGGTTTAAGAATTATTTTTTTGTGAATTACTGAGCTGATATTTAGATGTAGAACCATCGTGGCAGAGATCAACTTCACGTGTTTCATGGAGTCAATTAGTATATGCCATGTTCTCCAGCCTTGGACGATTTGACTGCATTCCACAATTTCTATTCATTTTGGGTCAAATGTTTAATAAACCCACAAATTGTCCTTTGGATTAAGGTCCGAAGATGAGGCTGGCCTCTTCATCACATTATTCTTGTTGGCTGGAAACCCAGACGCTGCTGATTTGGGAGAGTGTTCGCAGACTTTCATCTTGTTGAAACATTAATTTTATGAGTGTGTCATTGTTGGTATGAGTATATCGGGTGTTTTGATGTATTGAGATTGATTAATTATCCATGACATGGAATGTTATTTTCCATTTTAGATATTTCAGCTGTAGTTCACTTTTTACCCCAAATAACATTCCTAAGGTCTTGAATTTATGTTTAACTGAGTCAATTTGACTGTAAATTGTATGTTAACAACTCTCAGGAATCCATTGAAATTCTTTATTTACATGAGACCAATAAAGTCCATTTGAAATTAACATTGCAAAAATTCGTGAACAGCTTTTTGCATTCTTCTATTGCGATTTTGACAGTTTAGCTTTGGGAATGGCCTCCTTGCCATCACCCTAATCTAGAGCTTCCTTCACATATTCTATGCCAAATTCAAACCTGGATTCTGGTTGGGCCACAGACTCTTAATCATACAAAGCCTTTTGGTAAAATAGAAAATAAACATAACTGCTGTGAGTAACTGTAAACTGAAAGACATGATGCCTGGAACAACCTTTGCTCAGATCTTCAGACAGGAACTGCCTTTATCCTTTAATGAAAATCACTAGTTTGACGACTGATTTTCAATAATAGAATGAATTACCTCACTGATAGAACGGCATACTCCTTTTAACTAATCATTTATTTACACTTAATCGCTAACAGGTGTGTGGGTTAGTTTTCTATTACTTTACCAAGAAAATGGATTTAACTGATAAGTGATTTTGCACTCATTTTATTTTAAACTCAAAAGAAAAGACAGATTGTAGTTTCTCTCCTCGACTTACATTTTCTAAGTCTGTGGATGAGGGCTTTTGCAGAAGAGCATGTCAACTGTCTTTGACATAATCAACTGCAAGCAGCATCTGTTGAGCCCCTCTGTAAACAGTTGGCATATGTTAACTGACTTACAATAAAACTGCTGAAAAGATTACAAGCATAAACCAAATAAAACTCCAATCAACTTGACTGTTAATAAATTAGCATCATAGCAGAACTGGCACACCAATTCTATCTTCATTTTTAACTTCCTGCCAGTAAAGCAAATTAAATATGTTAGAACTGGGGTGAGCTAACAAAAATATGTCAAAACATTTTGTCATGCAATGAATATTTAAATGGTGGAACATATAACTATAGACTGAAAAGAGGGATTTACACATTATTTAAAGTTTTTTTTAAATAAAATATTTTCAAGTTCCTCTGATATAGACAAGTTTCTTTATTACAAACCCAGATGAATGTTTCCATAGACTATAATTATGCTTTCATGAAAAGTATTCTGTCACATAACAGAACATCCACCTGTGGAGATGTGAATCAGTCATTCCACGTTGAACAGATTTATCTGAAAAACCTATAGTTTATATTCATCCTTTGTTGTGCAGCAGTGCGGTGCCAACATGCCAATGTCAGCCAAGATTAGTGAAGGTCTTCTTCTCGTCTTCATGGACATCTCATTGAGTGAGTAAGCAAACCCTCCTCACTTTGACCCGGTTAAACAAAGCAATGCTGGCTGCTGAGATGAAGCCCAGTCAATCAAGATGTAGGAACAGCTTCCTGTCAGCAGAGAGGAGGTAAATACATCAACATCACAGTCCGTCACCATCACTTAGCTGCCAGCCAATCACCAAACAATGCTGAGCAGCTGCCAACAACTTTTCGTGGCACATTGTGTAAACACGCTGGAGGACAGAGAGTTTTAGGCTAGAATGTGTTGACCACAGCTGTCTCATTGTGTCTACCATACATGGAGGGAGGCCACAAGCTCTATAAGAGTATATCAAACTATTAATGTCAGACGTTGGATGTAATTCAGCTATGAAAGAAATGGTACAAGTGCAAATCTCTTGATAACAGATGTCTAAAAAGCATTTTCTGACATGTATATGTATATGTAACTCAGGCTCATTGAGATTAGCTGGAAAATGTGAGTGAACATAAATTTTTAAGTCTGTGGGTACATTGATTGGGCCAATGCCCAACTCGAACCATCCCGATGTTCGTTTATGTTCAAGTTGAAACTGAAATTTAACTTCCAGCAAAATTTATACAATTTTCTTTGAGGATTAACTTCGGTTTTACTGAACGAGAATCCTGCAACCTTTCAAAGTAAAGAGCATCTTCTGTTTTTCATGACCCATTGTCTCTGAAATAGCTATGTTCTGTGCTGACATTTCTTATCTCATAACATTGTATTAAATGAAAGAAAAAGAAACATATTGCTAACATCTTAAATCAGCTGTCATTCTTGTAAACAGTGCAACTAGCAATATGACTGAGTGATGATTTCGAAGGTCGAGACAGGTCCCTTAGTGTGGCACCTCCTCAGCAATGATCTGGTTTCCATTGCTGTAACAGTAGTCAATGAGGTGTGACTGTAGAGTATTGCAGGCCTAACTGTGAGGTATGATTTCCCCCATTTGAGGAGAGCAACCCTCATCCAGCTGTACTCATCACAGGCAAAAAGCTGGGACAGAACCACATCAGCACAACTGACAAAGACTATGAGACTTTATAGCACAAATAGGTTCAATAAAATCCACTTTGTAATAAAGTGTCTGGCTACACAAAGCAGCAAAGTGGCTCCTAACAATAAAATAAAAAGTCCAAATCATTTACACAATAACTGAAAATGGAGCACACTCATTATTGAATTTCAGTGGATTTTTTTTACATTGACATATATTGACACATTTGGATTGAGACTTTGGGAAGAGTGCATGTAAAGGTGTATTTTTAATGAAGTTGTTAAAACCCAACCTTCACTGTTATAATAAATTTATGTCAGATCATGATTTCTTGATTAATCTCCAGTTGTCATTACAAAGAAATTTTGGATAATGTCAACTTTGTATTAAAAGCGTCATGATTTACCGAATGATACCTTATGACAACGGTCATAAATGTTCATGAAGACTTACTCATGTTTATGACAGGTGTTATTACATGTTTATGATGGTGTCATGACAGTCTTATTCTCAACCCGTCAAATACAGTGTTACCAAAAATTGTCACAAACTTCCTCAGTCTGCCTAAAATGAAATTATTTCTGTTTAACATTTTTCAGTGCTGAGAATTTCAGATATCTTGAAGAATGAAGTGATCATAGCACAGTGCTAAAAGATATTTTTTTCCCCAAAAATGACTTGTGGTGTCCATTACAGCACAAAGACATGAACACGCGTATACACACTTGTGCTACAACACTCACGATGCCCACCTCCCTGGCTACCTAATGGGCCATAGGCTCTAATCTGGATGGCCAAGGTGCTCAGGAGAATGAGCAGAGCAAATAGAGAGAGCAGCTCATCAGCCCGGAAAGCCAGTGTGTCGCTAACTCCAGCTGTTAAAGAGACATCCGCACATCGTTCTGAGACGAGAAAAGGAAATGGGATGACTTGGGGTGATGGGGTAATTTCTAGAGAGTGACAATAGTTTCTAGTGAACCTTTTTCTTTGCCCTACCTCCAAAATGTCATCTCAGAAGAAAAAAAATGGTAGATATAGTTGTTTTTCCATCTGCCTTTGGTCTTCTACATTCATTTGGTGTTACTGACCTGTTTCCAAAGTTTCTCGTACTCTATTGTAATCTCATTTTCTCCTGCGGAAATATTTACATGTATTTTATAAAGGCAATGGGACACCAGGCATTGGGAAGACGCAGGGTACACCTTGGAAAGGTTGCCAGTCAGTCACAGGCCAATAGAGAGACAGGATAAACAACCACGTGTGCACGCACTCATTCCCAAGGACAATTAAGAGACGTCAATCTACCAGTGATGTTTTGAACTGTGAAGCCAAAGTACTTGGAGAGAACCCATGCATGTATGGGGAGAACATGCAAACTTTGCTGCAATTCAGCTGTGCAGCACAAGCTACATAACTGGAAAATAAAATTCAAGTAGCTTTTTAAAAAAACCCAAAACAAAACATTATGACATCTTAAACATTTAATTTGACAATGTTTCAAATCTTGTGCCCAAATCATTTAGTCGTTATTTAAAGTGTAACTATCCTCCTTCTGAAAGGGGGACAGTTACACTTTAGTTACACTTTTTCAAATTTATTCCTGGTAAATTTGAAAAAATTCCAGCAAAGTGGGTGGAGCCAAGAGACAGTCTGGTTGTTGGGCTTCCTGAGCCAGAAGCGAGAGCTGCTATTAGCTTCTCCCGCTTCCTCAGCACTGAAGTCAGTCTGACAGTCAGAGCAGAGGAGACCCATTCAACTCCTTGTCTATATTGCAAAAAAATCATACATTTGTAAAGTTGAGTGATGCTATCAACCAGTGCTTGCCGGTTGATAGCGATCACTGGTTGTACTTCACAGCACTCTACTTCAACTCCTGACTCTCCATTGGGCAGGCAGGGGGGATTTGCACCATTAGCCTTATTACCATTTCCCAGTGCTAATACTGGGAGATGGTAATATATCGTAGACTTTATACATTTGATTTGGACAGAGTACAGAATGACTATGTGAAGTGGAAGGACAATGGTACAAATAAACAACAACAAAAACAAAACTAGAGTAGTCTGCCATGTGTTTGTACTGCACAGCACTCTTCGGACACGCGAGCATGACATAAACAAAATAAATCCTCAATAAAAATAACAGTGCTTACTGTAATCTAAATAAACATCATTTATATTTAGCCACTATCTCCCTTCATGTGGCGAGTCTTTCCATTAGTTTTCAGACAGGCTGAATAATTACAGTCACCAGTGATGCAAGGTGGTGCTTAGTGATTTGTCAGTTGCTGAAACTTGTCCCCCTCCAAATACTGCACGTCACTGTCCTTACCGTCTTTCCAAAAATTTCCATTTGTAATTGACAAATAGATGGATTAATGGTGTATAAAATAACCCATCCATTATGGGAACCTGGGAGAGTCAATCATGTCAGACGGGCCTTTTTAGAACGTGCTTCTCATGACCCCTCTGGGGTTGAGGATACGATTGGCTGTCGGGAAGAAGGTTTTAGAGTAAAAAGAAAAGACAAATTGCTCCGCTGTTCAAAAACAGAGTTGATCAAAGGACTTCTGAAAGTCAGGATGCAGGCCCAGTAGTGGACAAGTATTCCTTAAAATAAAATACATGAAAATTGGGAAATTAAGTTAGATATAAAAATTATCTCCACAGGGTATCTTAAGAATATTTAAAACCCTAAAATATTTTTTATTATCCTTCATCAAAAACAAAACAAATGTAATCCTTACTTTCATCACACCCTGTTTTCCTTTGTGTAGAACTCAACCCAAGTAGCTAGAATAATTTAGCCTCAGTAGTTTGAAATTAATATTTTTGACAAAGTTACATTTGTCTAGAGACCGGAGTCAGATATGGTAGAGACTGCACAACGTTCCTGCAACTCCATCAATTTCTAATGTTTGTCTAGTCCAACATGTTAATTAGCAATATGGAGTTGGGTTAAAAAATATATATATATAGTTAAAATATTTGGGATGTTTAATATATAAGAAAAGGTAATAAAAGAAAAAAATACTTTTAAAAATGTAAAAATAACCTCTTACTCACAGTTTACCTTACTATTCATGAATTTTGTACATTATTAATAAGCATAAATTATTAGTTTTTATAAGTTCAATAAAATAACCTGGATGAAGTACCTTTTTTCCAATAAAATGCTTGGAAATATCTTGGCTGAAAGCAAAGCCCAAACTAGCCAGAATTTTTCTTCCTTAGCAAAATTCCAATAACATGAGGGATTAGAGGGACCCATCCAACTCAATTAAATCAAAGGCGTGAGGAAAATAAACAATGACAAGGAAAAACCTGCAGTAACACATCGACAGGTGCAAGCTTGTGCATGTGTGATGCCAAGCATGTCCAGAAATCTCGTTTCAGGTGTGTCCTTGTGTTTGTGTGAAACCCAAGGCCTTGCTGCAGCCAGATAAACAAAATAGTAACAATACCTTTTTACAACTGTCAGTATCCACAATAATCATGGAAATACAGACATTTTATTATTTCCAATTTCCACAATTGTTGTGAAGAATTAGGTTTTCCCACAAGATTTTTTGCATTTTACAATTGAACTTTATGTAATAAACACTCCCATAATCATCATAATCAATGCTTGAAGTATAAGAAGGTAGTAAGTTTAAGAGGCTGCATTTGTTACAAAGCCTAATGCAACAAGATATGCTGAGTCCAGTCTTTTAAGCAGGGAGCATGCAGCAAACATGCAAACAATTCCAATATAGTCCAACATACAAAGAAAATATACATTTTTGCTGCAGGCAGCAAAAGGAAAATAGTTGATCAAATTATATCAAGAAACTGACTTTATAAATGTTTCCTCTTTAGGAATCAATTTTTCTGTATCTGTATACATGAAATGCATTTTGGCTACAATGGCCCAACTCATAAAACTTTAGGTCTCTGGGAAACACCATCATATATTGCAAATGAAACATTTTTTTCTTACAACAGCACACTTTGCGTCAGATAAATATTTCTCAAACATTTCAGAGACAATTCACTGGCTCCTATGAAGTCAGTGGACTCTTATCTGTCTGCAGTTCAGTATTTGCGGATT